GTCGCAAGCTAAGATACCTTCCAGTAGACTAAAAGAGGAGATACCTAAGGACATATGGTTGGTAGGTGACAAAGCCAAGGAAGACTACAGCCTAGGTCTTCCACCTCACAACAGATGCTCATCTAACTACTACATTAGCTAGCACATTAGCTAGCACACGGATGGGAAGCAATGTACTGAGTAAGGGAAGAGCCAGGTACTGTGTTACTAAGTCACTGTGTGGTCTTGCACAAGTTGCTTTGCCTTCCCGTCTCCAACTGTGTCCGTGTCTACCAAATGAGCCTGAAATATCAGGTAAGTTTCAAGGTCTCTTCATTATAAACATTTTAAAGAAACCTACTGATTAAGCAGAATAGCTTTTTGAAAACAAAACAAAAACCTTAAAATTTCAGAACCAAAAGAGACTAAAAAAATCATTTAAGCCAGTAGTCCTCAACCTGGAGGTAACTGTTAAAATGCAGACGTAATAGAGACATGTGAAAAAATGCAGATATCCAGGCCCTAACTCCAGAGAATCTGATTCAGGCCTAAGAAAAGGTCCAAATATCTGTTAAATTCAACTTAATACTCAAGGGAGTTTGATGTAAACCGATTTCACAACATGTTCTGAAAAATATGTACCTAAGGAAGCTGAAGCCCAGAATAGCCAGCTACATATATATATGTAACTGTATATATTTTGTTAAGTGTTTACTATGTGCCAGATACTACCTTCTAAGGTCAATATTACCCCATTTTACAAGTGAGGAAACTGAGATACAAAGAGATGTATTAACTTGCCCAAGAATACACATCTTGTAAGTGACAGAACCACATAATTCAAAGCCACACAGACAGCCCAGCTCCCAATCTTGTGTTCTCAACTAAGACATAAAAGTTATGCTTTAAGATCAGGCTGACAGGCCAGTCAGGAGACAGAAATCCAGGTATAAGGCTAAAAGGGTCTAAATAATAGCTTTGGAAAGCATGGTTTAACACCACATATGAACTTTAATAGCCAAAACAAATTAAGCAAGCAGCTTTTCTTTATAACTGCCAGGCAGAACAAAATGCTTTGATATATTTGGGGCAAAACAGCGTACTGCAATGATCTAAGTCAAGTCATTCTGTGATGGAGGCGGAAAGATTATATTTGCATACTTATTTTTAAAATCAGGAAACAAGAATTGCAGTGTTCTTAAAGTCAGTTTCATAAGAGTAGAAATTCACATCTGCTTAGGGGAAGCTTTTATTACATTTCTTTATGGCAAGTGAAACTACAGCTGCAGAAATAAAATAAAAACCCTCCCCTCCAAAATCAAGACACAACAAATTAAAGAAATTGTATTAGGTTGGGTATAGTGGTGCATGCCTGTAAATTCCGCACTTTGGGAGGCCAAGGCGGTTGGATCACCTGACATCAGGAGTTTGCGACTAACCTGGCCAACATGGTTAAATCCCATCTCTACTAAATATACACAAATTAGCCAGATGTGGTGGCACATGCCTACAATCCCAGCTACTGGGGAGGGTGAGGCAGGAGACTGAGGCAGGAGAACTGCTTGAACCCGGGAGGCAGAGGTTGCAGTGAGTGAGACTGCAACACTGCACTCCAGCCCAGGCAAAAAAAAAAAAAAAGAAAAAGAAATTATATTATAGGTAACAGCTTCTCGTTCCCATAGAGCAAAAAGCCTCTCTACTCTTTCAGATCCTGCTCCACTGAGAATAACATTTTTTCTCCAAGTTCTCTCCCATAGTACTCTTAGTCTTCAAACAATTAGAGGCACCATCCTCTAAAGCTGTTTCTGAAGACTGAGGTGGCAGATCCCAAGTTTCTTCTCTGCAAAAGTCAATGCTAAAAGCACTTATTCTGTGTTGATCACTACAGAGAAGCAGTCACAGGAAAATATACAAATACGAATTGGTGAAATAATACAAAACAGTATGTCATATTAAGTGACAGCTTAATTCCCATGTGCAGAGTAAGTGCTAGAGGAATTCAGAGAGGGAACAGTTCAATGTAAGGCTGAAATCAAGTTTTCCAAGAAAAAGCACTCAAGCAGCTCTTGACTATTCTGTCTCTTCTGTCCCCACTTATTGGTTAAATCTTCCAAGTACTCTTTTGTGAGACCTTTTCTCTATTTCTGCTACTCATGTTGAGGTTCTCATCACCTTGTCATTCTATTTTTACCACAGACTGCCCTTTAAACAAAGAACATTTACTTCTAGTAGATTCCAAAGGACAGAGAACAGAGCTGGGTGGTGGCTCATGAATGTAATCCCAGAACTTTGGGAGGCTGAGGTGGGAGATCACTTGAGGCCACGTGTTCAAGACTAGCCTGGGCAACATAGTGAGACGTTGTCTCTACAAATAATAATAAAAATAAAATAAAAAGGGCAGAGAAAATAAAACAAAAAAACTCAAAAAGCATTTACCAGCACTAAACAATTTGATCCTTACAACAAGCCTATAATATGTATGAATGTCCAGTCTTTATATAAGGATATTTAAATTCAGTAATATCACACAACTTATCCAAGGTCATGTGGCTTCAATTAGGTTGGTGCAAAAGTTATCATGGTTCCTACCATTACTTTTGATGGCAAAACCCACAACTACTTTCGCACCAACCTAATTAACATGCTGCACTACAACTCAAACTTGTCTCTTTTCAATATATACATTCACTACTGTGTATATGGCCTTATTAAGAAGGCTTCTACTTTCTATGTCTCCAAACCACCAGCTTTCCTAAAAACCACTTTACAGTCTCAAAACCCTTCAACAAGTTTCTTGTCCCATTTCAGGCAATCCATGGCCTCCCTAACTGGATTCTATCTACTTGTCACTACAGTTCCTTTAGAGAGCCTTCTAGTCAACTCAGTACCTGAGAAACATTAAGCACCATTACATCTGTGTACCTTTACTCAAGGAGAATTTTTTACCTGACATGTCTCTCCTCTTTCTCCCTCCAAATAAGGTGCCAGCTCCACTCTCAGAAATGACGCCTTTCCTTGAGACTCTCACTCTTATCAATAAGATCTCAGGGATCACTCTATCTCTTTTGAACTTCTGTAAAAAGTGCACACTTGAATATACCATATAGTTCCTTAAATAGGTTTAATTACCCCATCTCCTATATTCAGCTATTCTGAGTGCTCTCTGACAGCAGGAATCTTTCTCCACCATTACACATTTGTACTGGTCACTACAGGTAATGGAGATCATTACTGTGTACTAGCTTACTTGGTTCTCCCCAAAACCCTGTGATATAGAGATCCTAAAATTCCAAATGAAAAAAGGTTAATTGACTTGCCAGTCTTCATACTGTTTGCAAGTAGCAGAAATACTTCAAAGCTGAAATCTTATGATCCCCAAATCCAGATTCTTTCAATAACACAATGTTGTCTTATACTATTCCATAATAACAGTATTCCATACTGCCTTAGTAGAAAGCCCATGCTTAATGTTTCCTGATGAAAATCCAAGTGGAAAGAAGAGCAAGAGCAGTGAGTGGGGAAGGTAAACACAGGCTGTGAGGTGCTTACCCAGTGAGAAGAAAGGATCTGTGTACACAAATGACCATCAACTCCCCCATACTCTCACAGGTCTTGAAGCAATTTACCATCCCAGCCTCCAGAATATGTTTCTGCATCTTAAGCTTTGAGTGTGAGGCCAGGTGCATGGTGACTCATGCCTGTAACCCAGCACTTTGGGGAGCCGAGGTGGGAGGATCACTTGAGGCGAGGAATTTGAGACCAGCCGGGGCAACACAGTAAGACCCTAACTCTACAGAAAAGTTAAAAGCAAAAAAAGTAGCCAGGCGTGATGGTGCACATCTGTAGTCCCAGCTACTCCAGAGGCTGGAGTGGAAAGATCACCACGGCCCAGGAGTTCAAGGCTGCAGTGATCTGAGATCCATTCTGGGCAATGGAGTGAGACCCCTCCCACAAGAGAAGAGTGTGAGAACCATGTCTTTCAAAACCAGTGACACTCAAAAAGACAAGTAAAAAGATCTGGATCTGACCACCTCAGCATAATCATGTATTCATTTCTTAAGCACCTACCATGTGTTATGCATATGAAAGTCTGAAAGCTGTTTTCAATTAAAGTCAAAAATCCTATTTACTACATTAAAGACACCATGCTTAACAATTCTCATCAAACCAGCCCAGGGCCCTACAATGAGAGAACTGGAAGGGAACTTATGGTTGTCTCATTTTAAGGCTAAATCTCTTACTTTGCAGCTGAGAAAACAGATACAGAAGGAGCAAGCATACTTCAAGGTCACAAAGCCAGTTAGAGGCAAAACCAACAGGATGAAGTTCTCCATGCAACTGTTTCTTCCAAGATGCTGTGCAAAGAGCAAGAAGGGCCAACACAGGGACAGTTTTCCTTTTTTTATTTTAAGCCCTTGTTGCTAGAACTGCAGTTAAAAAAAAATAAATGAATGAGCAGAGCAGGAAAGAGGCTAGCGTGAGCGGGTAGCAGTGCACTTGGTGGCAAACAGGGAGGTGGAGGGAAGACAGGAGAGGGAAGGGGAAAAACAGGAAAAAAAAGAAAAATCTTAAAGGCTTCTTGTCAGTCCAGCAGGAAGAGTCAACACTTTGGAATCTGCAAGCAAGGGTGATGGTGGTAGGGAGTTTGGAGGATACTGATTCTTTAATCTTTGGGCTTCGGTTTGCCGTGTCTGTGAAACGGGCACAGGCAACAGTGGACCCAGCACTCCAGAAAAGCGATGCACACGATGAAGTATGGAAGAATAAAATTACAGAAAAAGCCGTAGTGGCCAGGACCAGAACATTTACGAGAAGGGAAGAAGTGCTAAAGAGGAGAGGGTCCAGGTTGGAAGTGTGATGAGGGCATGCTACAAACAAGAGTGCGTAGGGTTCTCATGGTGGTCACACAAGGGGTCCCCTCAAAAGACCGTAGAAAATAAGGGAGACAGGGACGGGAAGGCGGGCTCGCCGCCTCCCAGGCCTCCCCAGGATCAGATTGTTCCCAAGAACCGGCTCCTCACCTTATCCAACAAGCCACTACGGCCAATGCCTGTCCCGCAGCTGGAACCACCGCCAGCCCCACTACTGCCTCCGCTACCACCGCTTCTCCCGCCCTGAGCAGCTGCCGCCGCCATCTTGTCCGCCTCTGCGTCTCCCTCCCCTCCGACTTGTCCGAAGCCGATTGGCTGAAGCTGAAGGTGTGACGCGCCGCGCAGAGCCTATCGGGATCCGTAGTTTGGGGCTTGTGACGCGAGGTAGTCAGCGGACGTGGCCGCGGAGCTTGCTGGGACTTGTAGTTAGAAGACCCGGCCTCCGGTTGCCGCTTAACACTGTCAGTCGCCGCATAGCGGTTACTAAGGGGTGTGAAAGGTCGTGGCAGGTAGCACCGTGGAGCGGCTCCGAGATCCCCGGGAGGCTCGCAGGCGCTCATCCCTCCTGACTGGGACGTCGCCTCCGCGGACTCCTCGGAGACGGAAACGACGCCGGAGGCAGGTGCGACTGAAAACTTAGTTTTCGAGTTCCAGTCTTTCTCCGGCCCAGAAGTGGAGTTTCCAAAGGGGTGGCTCGTCCTTCATCCTTTTCTAGACTGGTTGTGGCACTTACCGATTATTCTCTCAAGCAGCTGTCATTTTAGCGGTTAGTAATGCTTTCCTGTTACGGAGAACTCACATTTACTGAGTGCCTACTGTCTGCCAGGCAGTATCCTATGTGCACTTCCAGCCATCCTCTCTCTCATTGAGTCCCACAACCGCCCTGTTAGATGAGGAAACTAAAGAACCTACCCAAGGCCAGATAGCATGTATCTGAACTCCGTTTTCAAGCCAACATTTTTAAAAAAATTAAAACCAGTATGTATCCCTTCTGACACTGCTTTTACGGTTCTAGGATGTAATGGTATTCTAGATTTTAATTAATAAATATTTCACAAATATATACATATATATATATAGAGAGAGAGAGGGCACCAATATTTTACTAACGGATACAGGGGATCAAGATAGACCTGGTCACTATTCTGGTGGAACTCTTACTCCATGACAGAGTTATCAAATATGCTCTATCATGACAGAGCATTGTATTATACTATGCTCTATTACATTATGTTGTGTTTTTAAATTCCCATATATCCCCCATAAGCGTCTAAATAATTCAACAAATATTATTGAGTTGCTTACTATGTTGCAGACCCTTTCTAGTCACCAGAGATATATCCATGAGTAAAAGAGACAAAAACTTGTCTTGGCAAAGCTAAAATTCATGTGAAAATAATTATCACAGCCAGGTGTGGTGGCTCATGTTTGTAATCTCAGCATTTTGGGAGGCCGAGGCAGGCGTATCACCTAAGGTCAGGCGTTCACTAGCCTGGCCAACATGGTGAAACCTCATCTCTACTAAAAATACAAAAATTAGCTGGGCGTGGTAGTGGTGCCTGTAGTCTCAGCTACTTGGGAGGCTGAGGCAGGAAAATTGATTGATCACAGGAGGCAAAGGTTACAGTGAGCCCAGATCAGAAAGAAAAGAAAATAATTATTGCTAAATAGCTAAATTATCACTAAAAATAAAATAATTATCACTAAATAACAATAACATCAGATGAGATTTTATTACCTCTGTGAAGCCATCCATGGACACTCTAGTCAGATGCCCCTGTAGCTTGTTGTTGCTTTTTATCTTTTACGACTTCTCATTTTTCAATGAGATGATATAGCATTGCCCTAGTTCCCCTCCCCGGCCACCCGCCCACCTTTCTTTCAGACTGAGTCTCACTCTGTTCCCCAGGCTGGAGTGCAGTGGTCGGATCTTGGCTCACTGTAACCTCTGCCTCCTGGGTTCAAGCAGTTCTCATGCCTCAGCCTCCCAAGCTGTAGTCCCTGTAGCTGGGACTACAGGCACACACCACCATGCCTGGTTAGTTTTTATATTTTTGCTAGAGACAGGATTTTGCCAAGTTGGACAGGCTAGTCTTGAACTCTTGACTTCAAGTGATACGTCCGTCTCAGCCTCCCAAAGTACTGGCATTACAGGCATGAGCCACTGTGCCAGGCCAACTACCCATCTTTCAAGTTCCAGCTCTAATGTCACCTACACTGTGAAACTATCCCTGATACTTGCTGCTTCTTTCTTCGCAGACGACATGAAGTGCTTCTATTGCATTTTGTTCATGGGTTGGGTTAGTTCAATTAAGACTCATTGAGACTCTTCCTTCAGTAGGCCAGGTTCTGTATGAGATGCAGTATAGAGAGATAAGTAGGACTTAGGCCTGACCTGACCTTGGCAATACTCACAGCCTGGTGAGGTGGGGAACAGACAAAGAAGCAGGCATTATAATACGGTATGGTATAGTGCCTGTATTAGTCTGTTTTCACACTTCTATGAAGAACTCCCCAAGACTGAGTAATTTATAAAAGAAAGAGGTTTATTTGACTCACAGTTCCACATGGCTGAAGAGGCCTCAGGAAATTTACAATCATGGCAGAAGAGGAAGAGGAAAGTCTTACATGGCAGCAGGCAAGAGAGAGCATGAGTGTGAAGAAGGAACTGTAGACACTTATAAAACCATCAGAGCTCATAAGAACTCACTCACTATCATGAGGACAGCATGGGGGATACCACCTCCATGATCCAATCACCTCCTACCAAGTTTCTCCCTCAACACATGGGGATTATGGGGATTACAATTCAAGATGAGATTTGGGTGGGGACACAAAGCCTAACCATATTAGTGCCCCCATTAAGGAGTGGGCTTGATGGCTGGGTAAGGGGGCTCACACCCATATCCCAACACTTTCGGAGGTCGAGTTGGGCAGATTGCCTGAGCTCAGGAGTTTGAAGCAGCCTAGGCAACATGGTGAAACCCAGTCTCTATCAACAATACAGAAATTTAGCTGGGCATTGTAGCACATATCTGTGGTCTCAGGTACTTGGGAGGCTGAGGTGGAAGGATTGTTTGAGTCTGGGAGGTGGAGGTTGCAGAGAGCTGAGATCATGCCACTGCACTCCCGTCTGGGTGACAGAGTAAGACCTTGTCTCAAGACAAAAAAAAAGAAATGGGCTTCAGGAGGGTCAACCTGAGGAGAGGAAGATACAGGAAAGCTAATCTGTATGTAACCAGGCAAGGAAGAGGAGCAGAAATGTGATAGGCCAAAGGAATGGAACAAGCAAATATATGGGTTACTGTATGTGTGTGTTGTGTGGGGCAGGTGTGGGAGAAAGGGAGAATGTTTGTTTTGGAGGAAGCACTACAGTCAGATTGGTATTAGCGGCGGCAAGTTTGAGATAGAGACCAGAGGTAACTAAACTAACCAGGCATTCAGCCTCCAAGCCTGGAACTTTGACCTTTTTTTTCTACCATATAAAGTTTATACTTGTCTTAGATAATGTAACCTAGGGGTTATGGGCCCTTCTTGGCCCATTAGTTGTAGATCCACACCTTCTCACCTAATATTCCTAATAGGGGACTGGAATTTCTACAGTGGCATCCAGGTCTGTGTGCCTCCTACAAGCTTGAGTGTAAGTCATCTTTTGTATTGTATGCATGGCAAATACTTTTCCCAGACTGTGACTTACCTTTCAACTTTGACTTTGCTATTTTTATCTGGCAGAAATTAATTTTGTTAAAATAATCATGTAAACAATCCCTTCCTTTCAGATTTGTACTTCATGTGTCTTATTTAAGCACTCCAGCCATACCCCATTATCATAATTACATTCTCCTATACCATTTTTCCATCTATGTCTTGTCTTTATCTCCATCTCTGTATCTATATCTATTTCTTGAATCTTTATTTTATGGGCAAGGACTAAAGGCAAGACAAATTTTGGAGCAGAAGGCTTAAGTAGAATATAATTAATGAGAAAGTTCAAGAGCTCTGAATAGGATGCTAAGAAGGAATATAATATTTATTTTACAGGCAAAGAAACAAGTGAAGAAACAAACAAAAAAGGAAGTCAACAGGCCATTCTCAACGTCAAAGATCAAGTAAGTACTCTGCCAACCTGAAGCCAGGTCACCATATTGTGTAAGTTACTGAAGGCTTTCCAACAGCCATCATATCTAACATTTCCAGCCAGCAATTTACTCATTCATTCCTTCATTCACCTCTCTAGCAGATGTGTGTGATTGGTCGCACGTGAGAGAGTTCCTGAAAGACATATTGGCTGAATATAAATTTGTCCCCATCCATCCATCTATATCTATTAATCTTCCCAACTAGGGATTACACAGGTGAATAAGGTAATGATAGGCCCCACAGCAGGTGAGAAGTTGACAAGGGGAGCAAACAACTGTAATAAAGTGGTAAGTACTGTACTAGGCAAAGTATGGAGTGTTGTAAGAACACATAAGAAGAGCCTCCAATGCTTTGCAGGGAACATCAGGGATCAGAAAACTCATAGTGCCCTGTGTTGGACCAAAGGAGGTACTAGCATTAATTCATTTATTTCACAAATATTTATGGAATCTGTTATATGCCAGGTGATTTGTTAGGAATAAATTGATGACTGCCATTGATATTGCCCTTTCTTAGGAAGGTTTTAGAGTCTAACTGAGGATATGTGTGTGTGTGTTTGTCTGTGTGTGTGTAACAGATATATATCTTGGTCCCAGGAGTGCCATCATATCCTTCACTTGGCTCATACATCTATTGTGTGCTTCCTATGAGCTAAGTTCCAAGGGTGGAAGAGAAACAGTGAATTAGATGTGTTTCCAGACTTGCATATTCATAGTCTGTTGAAGGTACTCCTTCATGATCATTGATAATCTTATGAGGTCGGGCCACAAAAGGAATACTGATGAAAGACTTCACAGCTTAGTAAAAGCAGCAGTTATTTCTGCTGGCAGGTTCAGTGAAGGCTTTGTGGAAGTGTTGGCATCTGGGTGGAGTCTAGAAAGATGCTTTTTTTCTATCCATTCTGTCCATTATTACCTGATTTATTTCTTACTGCAATTCTCAGAGGCACAGAATTTTTATCCTCATTTTACATGTGATAAATCTGAGGCACAAAGAGGTAAAGTTATTTGCCTATCATCACTCAGCTTGATAGTAGAAACTAGAGTCAAATTTAAAAATTGTTGCCCTTCCTATTACACCATTCTGTATTCATAGAATATTTGTCACTGCCAGGAAACCTTCTCCTAGGACATCTCAATCCCAGCTTTCCACACTGCTCTTTTTTTTTTTTTCCTGAACTCTTCCCAGACCCTTCATACTGTGGTCTCTTCTCACATACCTTGTGTAACCTCCCTTCCCCTGGCCAGCAGCTTGCAGGTTCCCCAATCTCTGCTACCTCAAATTGCATGAAGCTATCTCAATGCATATTTGGAAATGGCTACATCCCTTTAAAGACAAATTTTAAGAGCTCAAGGTTAAAGAAACTTAATCTTTGAGGTGGTCTTGGAGCTGAATTATAAAGGATGAGATCAACTAGGTGAACAAGGTGAAGAAAGGTATTTTAGGCTGAAGGAACACCAAGAACAGAGGCAGAGAGGACTACGTGTGAATGATGTGTTTTGGGAGTGGAAAATGACACTGTGGGCCTGAATGGGTAGAACTAACTGGCACTGGAAAGGTTAGGACATAGGACTCCAAGGACTTTCAACATCAGGCTTAGGCATCTGGCCTTCATGTTTAGTGGAACCCAGTCAGAAAACTGTTGCAGTATTCTAAGAGGGAGATGATGAATGATTTAATGAAAGCAGTAGAGATGCAGAAAAGTAGACCATTGGAACAGTATTTCCAAGCTGAAATTGTCATGACTCAGTGATATATGGGATAAGAAAAGAGGAGCTGGGTCTAGTATGTTTAGGTTGCATTGGTGGTGCTGTGCATTTTCATAACACATTTCGAGGAAATGTATGTTATTGAATTTGAAAATCCCAGTAGTGGGAGTTTGTTTTATTGAATGGGACATACTGTTTAAATTTCCACACCATGAAAATAGAAGATCAGGCTGGGTGTGTTGCCTCATGCCCAGGAGTTTGAGACCAGTCTGGGCAATATGATGAAACCCTGTCCCTACAAAAAATACAAAAATTAGCCAGGCATGGTGGCATGTGCCTGTAGTCCAAGCTACTCAGGAGGCTGAGGTGGGAGGATTGTTTGAGCCTAGGAGGTTAAGGCTACAATCAGCCGTGATTGTGCCACTGTACTCCAACCTGGGTGACAAAGTGAGATGCTGTGTCAAAAAAAAAAAAAAATCAGAAAAAACAAATGTAGCCTGGAGTTGAATCTGGTTCTTAGGTGTTTAGTTTGGCCTGCATATTGTTTTAGAATGGAAATTAGTTGCCGACACTCAAATAATTAGGAGATTTCATGTATACGGCAGACTTTCCTTGAAAAAAATGTGAAGATCTGGCAATAATGACTTAGATTTCTATATGGCAGCAATTGGTGAGAGCTGACTAACTGCTGCCTCTATGAGCATGTGCGCTGTCTCTCTCTTTCACACACACACACACACACACCCTCCTTCTACTCTCTTCTCACATCCAGCTTTCTTCACTCATCTGTCACACACACACACACACACACCCTCCTTCTACTCTCTCCTCACATCCAGCTTTCTTCACTCATCTGTCACACACACACACACACACACACCCTCCTTCTCCTCTCTCCTCACATCCAGCTTTCTTCACTCATCTGTCACACACACACACACACACACACACACACACACCCTCCTTCTACTCTCTCCTCACATCCAGCTTTCTTCACTCATCTGTCACACACACACACACACACACACACACCCTCCTTCTCCTCTCTCCTCACATCCAGCTTTCTTCACTCATCTGTCACACACACACACACCCCCTCCTTCTACTCTCTCCTCACATCCAGTTTTCTTCACTCATCTGTCACACACACACACACACACCCTCCTTCTCCTCTCTCCTCACATCCAGCTTTCTTCACTCATCTGTCACACACACACACACACACACACACACACACACCCTCCTTCTACTCTCTCCTCACCTCCAGCTTTCTTCACTCACATGACCTGCCCAACTCTTGTAACCATTTGTGTTTGCAAGTCCTGGCTAAAATGTCGGTTTTTGCAAGGTTTGATATCAGACTGTGGCAAAGAATCTGTGAATGACAAATGGTATGTGCAGTTGTGATTAGGGATATCCATTCCTTTGAGGAAGGATTTTTGTGTCTGTCTCTCTGAAGAGAATAATAATTTGATGAAGAAAAGACTGAGTCATACCTGAGAGTCACAACTGTGTTCTCTTTTCAACTTTTGTTCATATACATGCATGCACAGGTGCACACACACACACCACACACACCCCTAAAGAATTTCTGACTCACTGTAAGATGATATTGGAGAGTCTCTGGGAGCCACTCCACAGCACATAGAAAATGAAAGGTTATTTCTTTTGTGCTCTTTTTATTCTCTAGGTATTAGGGAAATGGAACACTTGGGATATTTGAAATCTCACCCCCATCACAACTGTCCCTGAGGGAGCCTGGCCTCCCTCACCCTCAGTGAGGGAACCCCGCCCTTGGGTGCTGGGTGCCCTTCTTCCTGCCTCCTCAAGGATGCCTCTGTGGGTCTGTCCATCTTTCTCCTGCATTGTCAGCCTTTCCTCCCCTGCTGGCTCCTTATCAGTCGATAGATGTAGTCAAGCCTTTCTCATCCTGTTAATAGCAGAGTAATGGGAAATGAGCAGCATGAGTTAGCCATGTGCCAGATACTAAATCCTTTCACAAGCATTTCTCTTGTAATCATCAAAGCAGACCTATGAAGTAGGTGCACTTATTGTCTACATTTCACAGAGGAAAAAACTGAGGCATAGAAAAGTAACTTGCTCAAGGCTACAAAGCTAGTAAGTGGCATAGCTAGGATCTGAACCCATGCAGCGAGCTTCCAAAATTTGTTCTCTGTAGTGACTCTGTCTACCAATGCTGGGACTAGGGTGGAGTCCAAGTGCTGACACTGCATTTGGACAACCCTGAGAGAGAGCACATGCCCCTGTAGGTGTTCCGCAGGCACCTTGCTCACCTTCCCCCAGCGCTGGCCCTGACATTCACCCATCTCTTTACTTTACCTTCCATCTCACTGCTGTCTTGCTTTTCTCCTCCCTTTCACAATCAAGCTTCTTGAAAAATTTGCTTATATTCACTTATTGCATTCCCTGACCTTCCATTCACTCTTTCATACATAAAGTCTGACTTTGACTCCACCTTTCTTCTAAAACTGACCTCCTACTTGGCCTATTTTCAGTCCTCACCTTGCCTGACTTCCCTGCCTCTTTCATATAGTTTTCTCTTTCCTTGGCTTACCTGGCAGCATCCACTGTCCACCCCCCAGTTCTCCTACTTCTCTAAAATTATTTTCTGAATCCTTCCGGAGACTCTCCTCCTTTGTCCACCCTTTTTTTAAAAAATACGGGGTTTCACACCGTCACCCAGGCTGGAGTGCAGTGGCATGATCACAGCTCACTGCAGCCTGGATATCCTGAGCTCGAACAATCCTCCCACTTCAGCCTCCCAAGTAGCTGGGACCACAGGTATATACCACCATGCTGGCTAATTCTTTAATGTTTTTGTAGAGACAGGGTCTCACTGTGTTGCCGAGGCTGTGTCCACACATTAAATGATAATACTTCTAATTGGTCTTGCTCCTCTTTTTCTTTTCTCTCCCTCCCTTTCTCATTCCCTTTTTCTATCCATCGTTCTTTTTTTAATTCTTTAGTTTATTAACATGAACTCTCATCAGCTCATTCCTGGGTTGCTGCAATACTTCCCTAACTGCAATCCTAGTTGCCACTGGGTGCCACTTTCACCTAGTGCTATTTTTGTCAGATCTCACTTTCTAAAGCACAGCTTGGATTACGGCTCTGTCCAGCTCAGAAATTATCGATGGTTCTCAGTCACCTACTAGATGAAACCTGAGCTCCTAGCCTGGTGCCACAAGCCCTTCAGGAGCAGGCACCATCCTTTGTGTCCAGCCTTACTTTTCAGGACT